CTTAAAGGAGCTATGTCACAGTTTGCGCATGTCGAAAAGTTTAGCCTAAATTAATCTAAATTTTTCAAGTTCGTCGGTTGTAATCCGTGTTAATCTTCCCAATCCTTAACCATCCTTGTTCCTTTACGGGTTATTATTATCTCTTTGGTGTTTTTTTCTGTCTTAGTAAACTACCATTTTCAGGTTTCCTTCAGATCAATTTAAACGTAATTTTGTACCTGGCCAAAATTACCGGCTTAAAATAGCGTGACTGAGTTCCTTCTGTGTTGATTTATTTCTTACAGATTTCAAACCAACTATTCGTTGGCCGTCCTGGCTAACAGCAAGATCAAAATTGTTTGCCCGAATCCCGCGATGATCCCGATTGCTATCGAAGGGAGCATTCGCTTGGAAGAGCTTTATGAAAATCTGTGGATAGTGGACAAACAGGCTTATGACACATGCGCAGTAAACACCTCTAACTATGGCAACAGAATTCTGATGAAATGCGACACTCCTCTGAAGCTGCAATACTTCAGTATAATCTTTCAGCGGTTCAGCGCCGTTGGTCCGGATGGCTTGGAATTTGAGTCTGGAAAGGAATATTTCTTCATAGGTAAACCTGTAAACTAGCTAATAAGCTAAGCGTAGCTCCACGTTAAATAAAGTAATGTATCGTATCGTAGGTAACTAACATAAATTATCTGTCTTTTCACGTTCATAATGCTTCTTTGAAACCTTCTAAAGACAGGTAAACAATTCTGATGACTCACTCGCGGACGCTTAAGAAAAGATTGATAGGCACGCAATGCGTGCGTATTCTTTATTGGTGTGAGGAGCAGTTGTTGTTGTTGTTGGTTTACACAGACTTTCCTCAACCAAAAGGGGTGCACTATCCTATGAGATCTACGTGGTTACTGACGAACGAAAATCACAGAATTGCAATAGGAGCTAAGACATTGTTCATGTTTTAAACTAAGCTTTTAAAACAATTAAATGTAGTCTGCACGTAGAGAGGGTGCTGTATCGCGTTAACCGGCAAAAATTGAATTTAGTCCACGCAATTCTAGATATTAATGTGTCGTGTCTCCTAATGTAAAACAAGACACACTATGTAGTTTTATTGTAAAAATAACAGCAGACGGTTAGAATAATTACAGAAAAATCATCTTGAATTTGATAAAATTTTAATCCAAGCTAACCTGAAAATTTGGCGTTTCGAGAGTGGGTGTGTTTTAACTCGTTTGGAGCAAAACGGTAGGTCAGAGAATGAATATCAATCAATCAATCCATCAATCAACCAATCTTCATTTACAGAGGGTGAAAAAACATTTCACTTTTAGAACTAACAAACTTGTGGGCCTCTAAAATATACAGCAACTAAAAATCTCTTTAAAACCTATGTAAAATTATTATGCAGTTTTCTTCTTCTCAATATTCCGAACAGTATATTCCTCAACGTGAGCTCTGTTTGTCCTGCCTCCGATTTCTGAACTTGTTTTTGTCGCATTTCAGCTACCTCTAATGGACAAAAGACGTCCCTGGATCAAACCTCAGGTGGAAGATGTGCCACTCATAACATGAGGATTAAGTTCTATGTCTGTAACGATAAAAATGGTAAGTGCTGTATCGATGGAGTAACGCCGGATCAAAAACCACAAGAGTTTATAGAAACACTGCAAATCGCAACCAGACACTTAAGGATCGGAACGTAGGCACTAAGTATAGGAGATGGTAAATGGTAAATGCGAGACTTGAAGAAGGCGAGACTAGCGTTTTTCTTTGCAAGCCCGAGACATTTTGACTTTTTAAATTGTGAGACCGACACCGCAAAGAGTTTTAAGTGCAAGTGCGAGGCGTTCAGATCAGTTTTAAGATGCCCACATCATTTATAAAAACAAACAAACGAACAAATCGGCACTTCAAGAAATTCTTAGCCTTGCAAAATATTGAGATTTTGAGACAGCTTTGTGAAAAAATCGAGACTGTGAGACATACATAACCACCAAAAATCGAGAATGTGAGACCGTGAAATTCGAAGAAAATTTTGCGAGACCCATGGTTTTTAAAGAACCATTATATTCGTCATCCGTAGTTTATTCTCAGCATGCATAAAATGACTTACCAAGACTTCACAACGCTGATTGGTCGCAATTTGTCTCTTAAACTGTAGTCGCTCGGCCACAGTCTGCGAAATCAAACAGCCATAATTTTCTATAAATCACGTCTCAGAGATGACGTTAGTGTGCATATAGTCTGCGGTTATCGACCGAGACATTGCCAAGACAACACGTGATCGCCGACTATGCTGGCGAGCCATGAA